CTATCGAGGAATTTATTAATTTTACTATATGACAGTACCGAATTTTGTTAATTATTTCATATAGATATCAGTTGCGATTTGTTTGCTGAACGAGCAACACGTATGTTCTCGCTTTCGAGTGTCGTCCATTCGCGTTGTTTTTTTTTCTTTCAGTAATTCAATAATATCAAAATGCTTACCATGCTCATCGGAAATCGGTAAGTGTCTACACAATAATATTAAGTAGGTCATACGCTCGTGCAACGGCGTACCGGTGGTTCCCACCGTCGCGTGACGCGCACAGCCATGGACCTTCGCAACCAGATCTGCTGACCTATGCAGAAATGCAAAATATTTTAACCGAATTAAAACACGCCAACGAACAACTCCACCGCCAAGTAGCAGAACTACAGGCAAGTCAGAAATTACTACAAATAAAAAATAGTGAATTGATACTGGCAACTAAAACGTCACAATTAAATACAAAAATAAATGACAACATAGAAAAAAAGACCCCCAATTCTAACATATCAGTTTCCAAAGGAGATAACGTAATTTCAAAAGCTAATAAAAAAAGTAACAATAACCCGACTAATGATAATACTCAAAAAATATATAAGCCCCCACCAATAACTATCAAAGGTGTTAAACAGTTTGATAAATTAAAACAATTATTAACGTGTGAAGAATCGGTAGGAAACGAACAACAATTCAAAGTCCTATCGAATGACGAGACGAGAATCTTAACAAAAAACGAAAGTCAATTTAGAAGTAAAATAAAAATATTAGAAGAAAATAAAGTTGAATACCATCGGTACCAATTAAAAAGTGAAAAACCATTTCGAGTAGTATTACGAGGTATAAATCATGACTCAGATATGGGAATAATTACCAATGAACTGTATGACCAAGGCCACGAAGTAAGCAAAATAACCAATATACAGATCAAAAAAAAATCCGATCCTAAAAACAAAAACAGCGAGTGGACATACATAAGGCTACCATTATTCTTTGTAGATTTAAAACCGCGGGAAAATAATAAAGACATATACAACATAAAACTACTATGTCATCAGATAATAAAAATAGAACCACCACGTAAAAAACAAGAAGTACCGCAGTGTAAGAACTGCCAAGCTCTCGGACACACACAAAATTACTGTCACAGATCGTCTGTATGCGTAAAATGTAGTGAAGGACACAGAACTGAAGATTGTCCAAAATCTAAAAAGACAAAAGCAAAGTGTGCAAACTGTGGTGAAGATCACACAGCCAATTGGAAGGGTTACTCTGCTTACAAGAAAGCAATAGAAAGAGCACACCCAAAACAAGTCTCTGCTGTGCTAAGAATACAGCAGAAACCTGTCACAACAAACGTTTCATACTCGCAGATGGCTAGTACTTCAAAAGTCCATACAAAAACACCTCAACCAAAGGAAAACGAAGAATCCACTACTCTTAATGATATTCTAGTCGCGTTAACCAACGTAACGCTGACACTAACAAAAATCACAGCAAGAATGGACAAATTGGAAATAAACCAGACAAAGTCCAAAAATACCTCGCAGAAAATAAAGAAATGAACCACACACTGCGGATCATAGCATGGAACGCCAACGGGTTAGTACAGCGCAGACAAGAACTTGAAGACCTTTTATACAGTGAAAACATTGACATAGCCCTTATTTCGGAAATTCACTTCACAACGTGGACCTATCTAAAGATAAGGAATTACAGAATATATACGACAATTCATCCCAGTGGTAAAGCTCGGGGTGGTACTGCTGTAATAATAAAAGAGTCCATAAAGCACTATGAACTCGAAAAATACTCTGTAAATCATATACAAGCGACAAGCGTCCGCGTTAATGACGGGAATAACGATCTCACCGTTACTGCAGTTTATTGCCCACCGCAAGGAGGTGCAGATGAAATTAAGTTCGCTGAATTTTTCCATACGTTGGGTTCTAGATTCATTGTTGGAGGTGATTATAATGCTAAGCATACACACTGGGGATCGAGATTGATCACCCCAAAGGGACGAGCCTTGTTAAAAGTTGCAAACAACATCAACGCTGAAATCATCACAACAAAAAAAGCCAACGTATTGGCCCACTGATCCGAACAAGATTCCCGACCTGCTTGACTTCTTCATTATGAAAGGTATATCTTCTAATTTTATCGAAGTAATAGAACTTACAGAACTAACGTCAGATCACATACCAGTGCTTCTCACGTCAAGTTCTAATGTAATACATAAACAACGAAAGATGTTGCTAACCAACAAGTAAACAGATTGGGACATCTTTAGAGCGAATCTAGACGAGACCTTAATGCTCACAGTAAGAACACCTATTATAAAATTACTAAGTGACTAATGCACTATAATAGTATTACACTGTTGTTTTATAGAATATCAATATATTACAAATTATCAACAATCGGCAAATGAATCAATTATTCTGATCAGCCCACCGGGTTTTCATCAGTACATTGACGGCTCAGTCCGACCTTGGAACTATCATACGGGTTCTTATACATTCTATTAAAAATATATGTTAGTTCGTGCTTTTAAAATGTCTTCTCCACGATGATGATTGTTTAATGACGACTGGTTTGAAAATATCGGTTAAATCATTATAGATGATTACATAGTCGACAATTGGAGTAGAATATGAACTCTTTTCTTTTATCACTTTAGCTGAATTATATACAATAAAAAAAAATGCGAGTACAAAATCTATAGCTGCCAAACAATTTTTTTTCAAAGTTTCACTATAACTTTCAGCCCATATTGTAGGAAATAATTCTATTTTGAGTGCATTTTATATTTTAGCGTATGTAGGACTTGGTATTTTGTTAAGGATATTAGAAGGTCCATCGTCTTGGTTGAAATTTTTAATAGCGGTGATTATATTTAATACTTTTTCTCCAGTTTTACATTCGACTGGGGAATTCAAAAATAATTTATACCGGCAATTTTCGTACCATGCAAGAGAGTTTCTCAACTTTGGTTTGTTTCTCTTTTTTTCCTTTCTATAGACCGTTGGAGAAAGGTTTGTACTGGATAGAGAGGCGTGTCGAGACATAATGGAAGCGCAAATTGGTTTAAATATCCTCGAATAAAAAATAGAATAGAATAAAATTATGGCAGGGTACTCTTATGAAACTAATGTTGACGAATTTGACGAACATCTTATTCTTTCACTTATGTGTTTCTAACAGAGTTATGTCAAACGTAAACTCAATGTGTACATAAATAATACGTTACGACAATAGATAATTAAATTTACTATATTACATTACTCATTACTTGTATATTTATTTTATTCAATACCTCTTTAATTTATACCATATAACGATGCCTGAAATTTATCACGATCCAGTAATGTATAACA